TCTAATAGCAGCTTCTAACCTGCTGGAGGAAGGACAGTGAGATTTCCTGTGTCCTGTGCTCTCAATCCCACACATTGGTGATGGGACACAAAATGAGGGGGCGTGTGTATTTTTTCAGTCTTTTCCAACCCCTGTAATGCCACCAGGGTCTGATACTGACATTGTAGTTTGCAATGACATAAAAAAAAAAACTCTCCAGCAATTTGACAGCAACTTTCTGGAATCAAAGCCAGTGAACGTATAACTCAATGTCAGCATGAAATGAAAACTCACCCTGTTTTGTAAATGCATGTCATAGAACTTGTTTTGAATGATTCATTCATGTGTATGTTTGATTTTTTTTTACTTTTTTTTACTTTTTACTTTTAAATCAAGTCATAACCGGATCTTCAAGTGAAAACATCTCTCTGGTGATGTATGCACAACTTTTCCAAGAACTTCCTCAGCATAAACCTGAGTGCAACGCCCATATCTCAACTGCAAAAACGGAAGTTCAAAAACTAAATTTTAAAGACGGCTGTGCACTTGTTTCTCTGGCGCATAAGGTCTACAGAACCAAGTCCCTTTTGGCAGTCTGTTACACTCACAATATACTTCACAATATGGAAGAAACCGACTGATCTTGATCTTGACTTGCCGTAACCCTGCCTCTCCTCCTAAACAAATTAAGAAATAAATAGGATGAGGATGAACCTTTAGGATGTCTTCATTTGCTCCCCACCGCTGGCAGAGGAAATGAAAATCATTTCTACAGATGTGCTCCCTTTCATGGCCAAAAAGGGATTAGAGAGAACATCAGACATTGTTTCTATGTATTGTTTGACTTTAAAGTCATGCGCAAAATGGGATTAAAACAAAACAAAAAATGCTAATAAATAACCTTCAGTAAGCCACCCCCCCTCTTTGGCAGAAGACTAAACCAGCTTCAAATAGCTACCATGTTCCTGACAGCGTCCCACTGCTGCTATCACCTCAAATGCCATTCCAGGACGAAATTCAAGTTTATTTTTTTTAAATCTCCCATTTCTAACAAGATCCTCTTAAAAGCCCATAACAAGCAGCTGAATTGTTGCTCTCTTCATCTGGGGCGGTGTAAGACACCATGTCTAACTTCAAAGTCCATCTTAACGCCACACTTTAATTGTATCTACTCCGGCACCCTGCATGCCATCTGATTCTGCTGACTGCACTTACACTAAGAGTTCTTTCTCTTTTTGGGTCCTGTCATCCTTTCTTTTGACTCATGCACACTTAAAGAGTTAGTTCACCCATAAATGAAAATTCTGTAATTATTTACTCTCTCTTATGTTGTTCCAAACCAGTATGGCGTTCTTTCTTCTGTGGAACACAAAAGGAGAAGTTCAGCAGAATCAAACAATGTGTTCTTGTCCATACAACAACGCAGTTTTGGGGAAAGTTACTTTTAGAAGTAATGTATTACAATATTGCATTGCTCCTTAAAAAAATAACTAATTGTATTACTTTTTATGGAAAGTAATGCGTTACGTTACTTTTGCATTTCTTATTCTCATCTTTCAGCCGTGCTGCCATTCTGGATTGCTTGAAGAATAGGACGCAGTAGAAGAAAGTTCAACACTCTTCAGCGATAAAAAACATAAATGCTGTGTTTGTCAAAAGTCATTTTGTTAGTATGGTTGAATTGGATCATCAAAGGTCAACAGTAAGGACGTTGGTTAAAAAAATGGGATTAAATACATAGAGGATATTTTTGTTATTTAACAGGTTTAATTATTGCAGGTTTGCATTTCACTGTATTCACTTTGAGAAATACTGAATCTGTTTTTGTGCAAGTGAGATGAATAAATGCATGTTCACATTTAGTCTAGAACTACAGTAACATCATGTTTGCACAGCACACACAACGTCTCTGCACTTCCTCCCAATTTCTCTGTCAGTCAATAAATGGGAAAACAAAGTGAATGGCATTAGTTATTTGAAAAAGTGTAAATTAAAAAGTAATGCATAACGTTACTTGACAAAAGTAATCTGATTACGTAACTCACATTACTTGTAATGCATTACCCCCAACACTGCAACGTCTCAAGAAATCCTCTGAAGACATCCAAACATTGCTGACCTACAAATGCAAAACATTTTTAAAGGTTTTTGGATGGAATTTTGATCCATTTTATATCAATTTTCACTTTTCATTTGTGAATCTGAACATAGCTGAGCCAAACTCGTAAGTCACACGGTCAGATTATAGCCTGAATTCAGTCATATCTCAGTTTTTACTAAATGTGTCATTACCACATTTTGCCACAACACTTAAATAGATTTGAGTTTGCAGAAGTGTGATTTCTTTTCCTGACAAAGCTACCACATGACTATAATATAATGTACAAGTCATATTAATTGCGTTATTGTGCTTTTAAGACATTTGCATGGTTCTTTAGGTCACCTTGTGTTAAGAAATTCTGCTTAATATCTCCTTTTGTGAAAATGGCATGGGTTTGGAAAGAGATAGGATGAATAAATGATGAGAGAACTTTCATTTCTTGATGCACTGTACCTTTAAAGATATTGTCCCAGACTGGTATTGTTTATTTGCCTAAGCCATAATTTCCTCTAAAAGCATGGCCACTGCTCCATGTATGCCATGCAAATCATGATCTGCTTCATTTTCTTTTGCCTCCCTGCATCTATGCCTTCCTCCTCCCCCCGACCCCTGCACACACTCACATCAGACATTCACAAAGTGGACATTCACACTTCACTCCTGGTGGACGTCTGTGATAATTGCCATAAGCCTCCTATTGCTTTCATTTTCCATTGTTCTCCCTAAAGTCTTTGCTCTGGCTTGTGATAAAGGGATAATCACTTCAAAGCAAACTGCTGAGAGTTTAGCCCTGAGCTGAAAGAGCAGGCAGACAATACAGTCATTGAGAGCAGTTACTGATCACAGCATTCATCACGGAGCAGCAGACGCTCTCAGACGCACTCACTTTAGCTGCTCCAAAATGAATACTCAGCAACTACCAAACGGGAATAAAAACTGGCTTTGGCCATTGGCCGTTAACTTTATACGGTACTTATAAAGTGTGCACAGGTTCCACTAAAAATCTAACAATGGTGTTTCCTTTTGGAAGAATTTTTATTTTCTTTCTAATTATTAGTTATTTAACAGGTTGGGTCTGATCAGTAATAGGCAATTGCACACCAAGCAAGTTTGCAGTGTTGTCCAACAATACGTATGAATGTCTTTGACCCTGCAAATGGCACATCCTGGATGATTATGCCTGGACAATGACGTCCTACTCTCATTAGAATTAGAATAGAGCATTACCATGTAAGTCTCACTTGTGGACTGTTTCCACTGTAGACAAAACATTTGATTATTGAGAAAGATTTCCTGTGAAGATAAGGCAAGTGAGTAAAACCTGTTGTTCTAAAAATGTGTCTTAAAGATTATTTTCTAAAATGTACTTTATGTTCTGCTCACCATAGTATGACAGCAATGTACACAAAAGCTTCACATCTGCTCTTTAAATTCATCTCATTTAGCACTAATGCATGTATTTTATAATATCCTGCTCCTTAAAGTGAATGTAGAACATCAAAGGAAGCGCTCAAGCCTTTGAAGTATCATGAGTGGAATCAGTGGAACGTCCTCCCTCACTAGTTCAAAATGCAGGACAAGCTTTTCTGGTAGTTTCACTTTTTTAGTTGAGAAGGACCTTTAACTATACTGCTACTGTAAAGTAACCTACTTCGAACTTTTGTGGCGTCTTAACTAACCCCATCATGTCTTAAAGCGGTAGTTCACCCAAAAATTAAAAGTTTGAAATCTTTTACCCAGCTTTTACTCATGTTGTTCAAAACCTGTATTCGGGGGAACACAAAAGAAGATATTTTGAGGAATGCTGAACCCCATTGTCTTTCATTGTATAGGGAAAAAACATCTTTTATATTATACTTTGGAATGAGTGGAATGACATGTAAATGTGAGTAAATTATGACAGCATTTTTTATTTTGGGTAAACAATTCCTTTAAAAATCAATGTATATGTCTACATTATAGACTTTTTCCTTGACTGTCTTAAAATATAAGTATAGACATTGAATTAAAGGAACAGTTCACCTGAAGATTAAATTGTTGTCATCATTTACTCGCATATGGAAAATAGCTGGTCAGATATTCTCATTGCTTTCCACTGAAGAAAGAAAACAACACTAGAGTGGAGCAATAGGAATTGAAATGAAATATTGAGTGAACTATTCTATTCTAGTTTCTAGTCCTGAATTTGTCAGCAACAACACTTTGAACAGAATTGTTTGTACTGTGTTCGGTCACAATGTCCAAATGTAGACCAACACAGAAGGGTAATTCGCTATGTGTTCTCTATGACGTTTTGTATGGGTTTTAAAATAGTGGTTTTTGGATTTATAAAATTAGTAAATTAATGTAGGCCTATATGGTTAAAAGAGAATTTAACCCCAAAGAGACCATTTCAGCTTCATTTCATAACAGCTGAAATAGTAGCTACTTTTTGTATAGCCTAAAGAAAAATAGTGGTTTTTGGATTTATAAAATTAGTAAATTAATGTAGGCCTATATGGTTAAAAGAGAATTTAACCCCAAAGAGACCATTTCAGCTTAATTTCATAACAGCTGAAATAGTAGCTACTTTTTGTATAGCCTAAAGAAAACGAAAAAAGGCAGCATTAATATTCTCATTTGAGTTGTGACTATTTTATGATGTAGAGAGTCAGTGTTAACCACTGACATCATTTTACTCATAAATCGAAAGCTGCTATTCTAAAAACTTAGCACGTGGCTCAAAAAAGGCTAATTCTCAAACAGGCTTGTGAATCGCAAACTTAATACAGCTCTATTATGTGTGAACGCAGAAATGAGTGGGTTAACTAAGAAAACAGTACTGAATGGGGTTAACTGTGATTCCTCAGAGGAAAAAGCGGCCTGTGTCTTTAAAGTTTCTGTAGCAACAGCAGGATCGCGGCGCTGCAGATCACTTACTCCTGACGCTCCACAGCTCGAGGGGAGTCGGCTCGAGATCTCTCTGCTTTGATGAGGTCCTTGCGCCTCAGTTGAAACTTTTCCCTGACGGACTTTAGCGAACGGGCACTTTACTGCGACTCGTTGAGAGCATTATGGTTAGAGGCATCGATAGGGCTTGTAAAAACGAAATATGTGGTTTTCGACCGTTTTGGACCGATCTGCGTTGTTTTAAAGCGGGAATGCGAGAAATACTGTTATATGTATCTGTCGGGACCGTGCGGTCGGCTGCGCTCTTTGATGTCCGCTCTTAAACCCTGAGCTCAGTCCACACTGGAATAAGAGACCAGAGCACATTCAAACGCACTATACAGGGATCTAGTGTGCTCTTCGCGGGAGGAAGTTTGCGTTTAGAACCTAAAATCTGCATTTGACAACAAACAACATCAGAGGACAGGAGGACTGCGTACAATTGGATATATTGTGGAATATATTTGTTCTGTTGTTGGAAACCTGGGACTTTGGGGACTGAACTCATGGATGGATGGTGAGTTAGAGCAGTGTGTGTGTGTGTGTGTGTGTGTGTGTGTGTGTGTGTGAGTGTGTGTTCTCCCAGCGCTGGCCCCATGCTATTGCTTTGATTTGCTGTTTACCGACTTTGACGTCATGTGTCGCTGTAAAATGCAGTATATCTGATAGACGTTACATTAAAACGCGTGTTTTAGTTTTTTTTAATTATTATTGTGTTGATTTGAGGTTAGCTTGGCTATGCTTAAAGAATATTCATGATAGTGTTACGGACTTCAACCCCCTGTGATCTCATACTTTTGTTTTTCTTGAGGGGTTTGAAGTTGAATGTAGCATGTTTTGTCTTATTTCTAATGGATTGGATTCGATCACTCTTTATATCCGTAAAGGGACGACTTTAAGCGGTTGATTAATCTTTCAAAACTGTCTTAATGGGCATTTTAGACTTCTGTAGCGATGCCGCTGTATCTTTTATGATGCATTTGAGATCCTTTATGTCATCAGAAGTGTAGTTTTTTTTTACTATATTATTATTATTTTTATTATTATAAATGTAAATGAAGTTTTTACGTACGTGAAGCGAATACTTTTTGTTAAGAGAAGTCAATGTGATGATATAATGCAAGTCTATACTGTACAGATATACTGTAAGCAAGCATGCTATTGATTAAATGGGTTTACATTATTGTGCATTTCATTGCGATTCGAGTTAATCGTCATAGGTAGAATTTTACGCGACATTTGTCTGCATAGTTAAACATCTCGATATTCCGTTTTCGCTCAAGTCGCCGTCTTAAAACTCACTTTCAGAGTAGCCTATGTCTTCTTTTGAAAGTTGGAGTTTAGTTATGACAGATCTTTATTATTATTTACTTATTTATTGAAAAATACAACCAGGAACAGGATGTTTGATAGTTTTAATTATGTTTTTGAAGATCGTCTTCCGATCAAAATCGCACATTTGATCGGATAAGCTTAGTTTTCCTTAATGAGAGCGTTTATCCTCGTTTTTTCCTGTCCTCTTCATCGCTACAAGGTGATTAAACTGGGCTTGAATGAGACAGATGTAATGTTGTAAATAACCGCAAACGCTGGATTTTATGTGATTTTAATAATTTAAAAAGTTTTAAATGACTAATATAATGCCTACATAGAATTTAAACTAGGTCGCTTCGATTGCATTCGACGAAGCCGATTGTACACCGCAAGCGCGCACAATGTAAAGCTATAAGTGTCTGAAGTGACTCTTTTGAAGTTTTTGGGGCGGATCTGGTTTTGATGAGATCAATACTTTGTGTTTCAGAGAGAAGCTCCCCTGCTGATTTAAGAGAGAAAGGAGATTACAGCTGAGCTTCACACTGAAGGCTTTGCTGCTGGAGCTGCTAAAGCCATGAATAGGACACTAACAGATCCTATGGTCAATAGCTTCAGAGAAGATGACCCACGTCCACCGGTCCCAGGGGAAGAGGGTGAGACAACATGCCACCATCCCAGCAAGCTGGCCATGATGAGACCGAAGGATCCTGTGAAAACCATTATGGCTGATCTTCGCTGTTCCACAGCCAGGAGGGATGACGATGGACTTGGGGAACCTGAGGGCAGTGCGTCCCCAGACTCCCCTCTTGCCCGGTGGACCAAATCTTTGCATTTCCTTCTTGGGGACCAGGACGGTGCTCAACTTTTCCGGGCATATCTTGAACGTGAGAAATGCGAGGACACTTTAGATTTCTGGTTTGCCTGCAATGGTTTCAGGCAAATGGACCTCAAGGATACCAAAACACACAGAGTTGCCAAAGCCATTTACAAGCGGTATATCGAGAACAACAGCGTTGTGGCCAAGCAGCTTAAACCTGCTACTAAGACCTTCATTAGGGATAATATTAAGCGTCAGCAGATTGACTCTGCAATGTTTGATCAGGCTCAAATGGAGATCCAGACGGCTATGGAGGAGAACGCCTATCAGATGTTCTTGACCTCAGACATATACCTTGAGTATGTCAGAACCGGGTGCGAGAACCCCAGTCATGTGAATCCCAATGGACTAGGAGGTCTAAAGCTGGTGTGCGGATACTTGCCGACTCTAAATGAAGAGGAAGAATGGAGTTGTAATGACTTTAAAGCCAAAGCTTTGGCCACTGTAGTCGGACTGTCTGCCAAAGCGATACGGTCACCTCCATCCCTTCGCGCAGTGGAAGCATTGGAGAAAGGCTACAGGTGAGATATCCCAAAAAATCTTTTTCACTTGAATACTGTATGCTATGACAATCCTGCAATGCTGTTGCATGCTTCGTACTGCTTCATGTGTCATGCAACCTATAGTGTGTAGCTTAGTGATTAAAGGTCTAGTGTGGTAGCCGGAAAGTTGTAAGTTGAAACAAAGATCGATTGATGTGAAGGCTATCACTGTTTGTGTCCTTGAGCAAGACACTGAGTCTTAGGGATTAATTCTCTGTGTGTGTGTGTGTGAAGTAAGTAATATTGCATAAATTCATCAGAGGAATGTCAAATTAATAAATGAGTAATGCGTTTTCAAGTGTATTATTACTTAGTTTCATGTAGCTATCGCACTTGAGCTCTTGCATTAAACATGAGAGGCCCTTTCTTGCGAGTTTGGGGCCATTTGCTCTCACCTGGCTTGCATTACGCAGAGAGAGAGAGAGAGAGAGAGAAGGGGGAAAAACATCAATAGAGCAGCTCTTCCTTTCATGTAAATATTGTCTAGCACCAGGCCCTCTGCTGGCTCCACACAGTTTCCTCTGCTTTGAAATTCTTCCACCGTTAGAGGATCATCTTCAAGGATCAAGGCTAGTTCACAATGCAAAATTGGTTTCAGCCGTCAAACGGATAAAACAAGTGGCACACATCAAAAATGTCACTGATTCAAAAACGAAACTTTTGTTTTTGCTTTGCTGTTAACAAAACAAAGTACTTCAAATTGCTCACAAGATTTTGCTTATGTTGATTTAAGTAGTCTTCGTTTAGACCAGCTCTGTTACTGTACTTTGTCAGGTTTGACACCTTTAGATGTCTTGACGAGCTGCTGGTTTGGTTGTTAAAAAAAATAAGTATATTGTCTGGGTTTAAACAAAACACCAGGGGAAATTTGGTTTGATGAATTGCTAGCCGTCACACAACTTGAGGATGTAAATGAGGTGACCCATCAAGGTGTGGTGCCAGACAAATGTTTATCTGTCTCAAAGACGGCCCGTTGGGAGGGTGATCTTGAAGAAGGTGACAGAACGTTTCATCTCTGCTTATCTTTGTCAGGTTGTTTATGTAGGAGATGATTAAGAAGCAGACGAGAGTAATCAAAGTCTCTTTTTTGATGTTATTCCCTGATTTCTTTTTGAAGAATGCTCCTTGAGCAGTCTGTTTTCCCTCTCTCTCGGGGCACTTTTTTGTTCATCTGAAGCATGTGGAACTTATTTCTCTCCCTTTCTGTGTTTCTGAATAGAGTTATTCACAAAACAACACGCAGCAGCGGTTCCTCTGTGAGTAACAGAGACCGTGGCCTTCATCTCCTCCGTTTCTTATTTACCACCGTTCTCCTCTGATTTCAACTGCCTCTCTTTGCACTTTTATCTAGGAAAAAACCCCGACGGATGGAGAATAAGCACACTTTTTGAGCTAGCGGAAAAGAAGGACAGAGGGGGGCGAGGCACCTCATGAAAGAAAGCATGAATGAGGGGGTGAGCGAGGGAAGAATGGATCGGAGGGAGGGGCGGCCTGGGTGGGTATGTGGAGGAGGTGGCCTTAGCAGAGGAAAGAGCACAAGAGAAGGAATGACATGAAACGGGAAAGTTTGGAAGGGGGAGGTAAAATGAGGAACGGGGTGCCTGGCCCAGACAAAAGGCTCCAGATATGCTCCACTGAGGGGAAGTGGCATTGGCAATTCACACAGATGTGCTGCTCACTTAACTTTCCCCCTGATCAGCCCTCACTGGGCTGCCGCAGGGGGGAGGTGGGGCAAGGGAGATGAAAGGGAAGAGTAGAGAAAAGACAAACTGAGCTCGAGTTCCTCCCCCAGCCATGAAGGAAAAAAGACTAGTAAAAATAGCTGGACCCTTTTCACAAACATAAGGGAAGCCATGTTAGAAGCATTTTGCATTTTGCATTTGCAATGTGATATTTTCCCTCTTTTGCTCTCAAAATTAGGATGTTATCGTAACATTTATCTAATTATTTGACTGCTTTAATCCATTTTGTTAAGGCCAGATTCATAGTCTAGGCAAGTACACATATGCAGTCTCATTGTTCATACTTGACATGCTTTCTTGCATTACTGTGGTGGTAACAAACCTCAATAGTCAAGATGGCAAACAAGTTACCTTCAGATGTTGTCCCGTTAACTGGAGGCATCAACTTTGTGAGGGCAAAACTTAATCAAGTTTTCAAAGTTCCTTTTCAACTGTTCAGTTTACCTGAGCAATTGAGTCCGTTTACGCTATTGCATGCTGCAGTTCTGTTATGGCAAACCTTAGAATGCAGCAGAAGACATTTGGAAAAGTGATACATACAAATTTAGACCTTACAGGTTCAGTCCCCTTTGAGTAACCTAGTTACAAGTGCCTCAATTGTGGGTTCATGAATCAACCAAGCAACCTTCCAGTTAATAGCCTTGCAATTTAACCACTGTACCACGCTTTCAATTAAAACCAACATTGTTTGTTGTTCCTGTAGGTCCTATAGACGCAGCGACCCTGGAAACCCCTATCGTGTTGCGTCCGGTTATAGTTTTGCTCCTGCCACCAGTGCCAACGACAGCGAGGTCTCCAGCGATGCCCTGACGGATGACTCAATGTCCATGACGGACAGTAGTGTGTAAGTGTCTTTCTGGAGCCCTCTATATTTCTGTATTTTCCTGTTTCTTAACAGTAAACTGCCTGCCTAGGTGGCACTGTTGGGCATCATAGGCAAATCTTGAATGAATAGATGATGCCTAAAATGACATCTTGAAAAATTTATAGTTCAGTCTATCTCTACACTGTGGTCAAAGACTAACATCTTTCTCTGGCTGTTAGCAGACATTGGGTTTAATTATTTAGTCATTTGTGGCTGGTAATGAGATGGTACAGATTGCAGGTGATACATTGGCTTTTAAATGCGTTCGAGATGTTTTTAATGCGTTGCTGGAGTCTTGAGGGGATGAGCTATGAGAAAGGAGTGGACCCAAGAGAAGAGCCCTCAGATAATGTGCTTCCTCTATGCGCTAATTGAAGCTAATGTTTGCAAATTCCTCTACAGGAAATGACACTGGCCAGTTTGTCCTCCTCTTTTGCCCATGCTCTTTCCCTAGAAAGCTTTGATCTTCAATGGCTCTCTTTTTAGACTTTGCACAGCTTAGTCACTGAAGACATAGTCATTATTTATTGGTTTCCCCATTGTCCCTGGAAAAAGGGGGTGGGGGTTAACTCGCCATGTGGACTATAAGACACTCATTGAGGTGCTTTGGCAGTAAATTAAAGGAATCTCAACTCGCATGGAGGTTTGGTATGAGCCCGCCGGGGCTGGAACGAGGGGGATCCGGTGTCAGCTAGGCCTTTAAGAAATTAGCCATTTCTGGAGCACAAGAGCAGGTCACCTGGGATTAGGGTGTTTGGGACCCCATCCCCCCCCAACTCATGTACACCACCCATTCAACCCCACCTCTGCCTGAAAGCAGCCCTCCCCCCTCTGTGTTTGCGGCAGAGGCAATTGTGCGAGTGCATAGCTAAGTGCAGAGTGAGAAATAAAGTGCATGCTGGATGAAAGGCTTAACTGAATCGCTTTCAGCCCATTGTTAGGCCCCGGGAGCTTAGAGGGATAAGAGGGTGGCTGGCTGCTTTGAAAATTACTTGCACAAGTGAATAGGAGATTCCCATAAAGCACAGCCAGCCTGTGACACCCCAAAGCTCCAAACACAGCTAGTGTATATGGACAGTGGGCTGATTGAACCAAAGATTAATATTTTGATAGGTGCAACCATGCGACACTTTTATTTTATTTTTTTTAACAAAATGTGCAACAGCTTCTTGAGTGACCTGTAAATTATTTATTTAATAGTTGAAACTGCAGCATAGTTAAAAATTAAATTAGTGTGTGAAACAAAAGCTAATCAAATAATAAAAAAAAGAATAATCTACATTCTCCTGTCCAGTGATTTCACACATATTTAGCCATTGCATTTCTTATTCTATATTTTGTTTGTATTTGCGCCACTTTGAAGTAGCATAGGCAATGTGAAAACCAGCCTCTGTGTTCTTTATTTGGAGGCTGATTTGATTGGAATAGCTGCGTTTTTATTTGAGTTAAAAGGCACGGCGCTAAATCAGAATTGGAATTCCAGATAAAGGGAGGGAGGGAGCGAGGGAGGGTAGGAGAAGTGGGGGAAATTTTGCTTATATCTTATTTATGGATTTACTTGGACGCTAGGGAATGCCGCTGCGCCGACTTCAAACATTACCTTATCTTACAAACCAGCCTTTTGATGTGCGCAAGATCAGAGGGTGACTGCCGAGCGCTTGCCAAATGAAGATTGGAACGACTGCTTTATGCGCATGACTGTGAGCTTTCAAAGACGTGCTGGAAACTGCATTTGGGCTAGGTCATACACTTCAGAGTCAGAACAGAGCAAAGGAAACTGGCCTGGCTTAAAAAAAAAAAAAGCTGAGCGGAGGATGAGAAAGATATCTGGCTTTAGAGGCAAGAAAGGGTGAGATTGAAGAGGTGGAGGTTTACGAACATTCTGCCATGGATTAGATGGATTAGGAGTGTTTATGGAAACACAAGCCATCCTTTATTGTAATTGGTAACATCATATAGATGTCATAACAGTGGCGACGCTTGATTGTGCGTTGGCATTAGTGGCAGCATTTGCGCTGCTGCCCTTAGGGTTCGAGCGTGCCCCACAGCGTCTGTGCTGGGCAGGAGAGCAGAGAACGATCTTGCTGTTACCAGCACTCTGGAATGCTCACGGCTAACATGGAGGAAGATGAAGAATGTTGGGTTTTGGATGATATTGAAAGGAAAGTCATAGGGCTTGCTGTTTTAGTTTGCACAGGGTGAGAGTGCATCGTTTTCTGGGCCATTATTTCAACATCACACTAAGTGTAGATCTGTATGACTACAGGATTTGAGTTTCTACGGATGCTGAAGATGTATGTGTCTGTCTATCGTGTAATAATTTGGGCAGTAAATAACCATTATTGTTCTCTGTGTGTCCTGACAGAGATGCTATCCCTCCTTACAAGCTGGGGAGTAAAAAACAGTTACAACGAGAGATGCAGCGCAACATGAGGATGAACGGCCAAGTGTCACTACCTCCGTTCCCTGTAAGTGTCCTCGCCTTTTTTCTGAATTACATACAAACAACTCCAACATCGCCCCCAATTAAAAAGCGTTACCCACTCACGGTTGTGGACCGTTCGTGTTGTTGTGCTCTTTCTGGGATAATGACTCTTAATAAAGTGCCACACCGCGCTAAATGAGTCTGTTTTATCCTGGGGCACCAAAATCAACTGTGAGTGCTTTGATCAGTGGATGAATGGGGCTGACTTCAAGGGAAGTGACAACTTCCAACCGAGCTGCACCCTTTTTATTCCTCCAGCAGCACCCTCCACCCCCCCCTCCCTCGTTTCCTCTCTGCCTTCCTCAAAGTAGAAAAAGAGAGATGGTTGGTTAGTGTTTGGAGAGAGAGTTTGGAAAGACAACTTGTTAAGCAAGTCAAACAAACCTGTATCCACCCTCCCTATGCCCCCTTATCCTTTCTTACTCTCCTTTGTGTTCCTTTTTTCCTCTTCCTATCACTGAATGTATGAGAGAGGACAAGTGCACAAACAATTTTAAATTCTGCTTTGGAAAGACTTTCCATTTTCTGTGTCTTCTCTCTTTCTCTCCATCTCCTTGCCTCCCGCCCTCTCTCCTTTTTTTTCTAGATTGTAATATTTCCCTTCTGATTTGGCAATGACTGGCTGCCTCTCCCAGGATGCTACTTTTAGGCAGCAGGGGCCTGGAGCTGCTGAAAGTCTCACCAGCAGCTTGTCTTGCTTTCTTCTCTCTTTCGTCTCTCCCTTCATCGTCTTCACAAAGAGATGGAAAGAGGAAGCCAAATCAAGAAAGGCAGGGCACAAAATAATAATAAAAATAAGAAGAAAGTGATAGAAAATCCTTGTGTGAGCGCACATGGGGAAGGAGGATAATGTGGCTACTGTAGCTCAAAGGTGCCTGCTGTCATTGGGGGGGAATAAATTACCTCTGTGCTTCTGATCTCCCACCGCTTGACTCCTCTAGTGGCGGCACACATCTCGCCATCTTACTTTCTCTTCTTTTAATCCCCCTCTCTTTCCTTTTTTCTTTTGCCTCCCTCCTTTTTCCCCCTGTCGATATGTGACTTTTATTGCTAGATGTAAAGCCAGTGTCCCTGCCGCCCCTGGTGAGCGTTTGATAAGACTGGAGCGTCTGAAGCGGGAACAGGAAACCATGAGCTCCCTGGAGGAGAGACTTCAACAGATTCAGGAGGTTGGTATTGCTGGAAGTCTCCGAAAATGTTGTCAGTGTGTGAAATCGAAGTTACTTCCTCTATTAAAGAATTCAGAGAAATGTACATTTATATGCATAACATTCGCAGAATAGTTTGGGCAAATAGGCTGTTTTCAAGAATTTCTTTGTAACATTGCATTCCTGTGTGTGTTTTAGGAGGAGGAGAGAGATGAATCTGAGTTGTCTGGAAGCAGTGCATCCCACTCTCTGCCTTTGCTCCCTCATGGCTCTTGTGAGGAGGACCCCCAGGCCATCCTGGATGAGCACCTTTCCCGAGTTCTCAAGACCCCTGGCTGTCAGTCTCCAGGAATGCTGCGGCATTCCCCGCGCTCCCGCTCTCCTGAACAGCGCCCCCTGCCTCGGGGAGGTCCCGGCACCAGGTCGCAGTCTGGCTCTATGAATGGATACATGCCGGCAAAGACCTTCATCTCCAGACAGTCGACCAAGCACATCCATCACCACTACATCCATCACCATGCTGGGACCAAAAGCAAGGAGCAGATCGAGGTGGAGGCAACCCAGCGGGTGCAGTGCCTGTGCCATGGAGCTTCAGAATGCTGCTCCGCCCCCTACAGCCGCAGCCGGAGTCTGGGCCGAGACCAGTGTGGCAGCCCTGCAGAAGTGGCCTTTGGGTAAACTCATGTTTTTGTTGTTCTTCTCCAAAGTGAATCGCATTTTTGAGGGCCTAAACATGCTCCAAAACTCATGAACCTTTGACACGCGTCAGAACTGGCAAAAATGTACATCTGATATGGGTTTCAGAAGTGGGTGTGGCAAAATGGCTGGATAGCGCCACCTTTACACATTCAATGGAGTGCGCCTCAAGCTACGTTTTACGTACATATACGAAAATCGGTACACACATGTAACACACCATTACCTACAAAAAATGATCTTGGTACAAAATCCAAAACTCATCAGGAAGTACGTTATTTGGAATTTCCTGTATGATTTTTGTTCCGTTTTTGCCATTTCCAGGCCTCATACTTTGACGAACTCCTCCTACAGTTTTAATCGGATCATCTTCAAATTTGGTGAGGCTTATCATAAGGCCTTTGTGACGTTATATTGCGAAGATCTTGAGTTTTTGTCAAAGGGCGTGTCCCTGGCGGCCTGACAAAATTTGATGTTTCGCCATGAAACAGGAAGTTGCTGTAACTCAGGCAAGCAATGTCCGATCTGCCCCAAACTTCACACGTTTGATAAGAGTCCTGTCCTGAACACATCTACATGCCCATATTCGGTTATAGTCACAGTGCCACCTGCTGGCAACAGGAAGTGACATGTTTAACACTGCGTAACATATTAAAAACCGTCAGCAAGTGTTAAATGGGCTGGCAACATGTTAGAAACATGCTAAAACATGCTAGCAACACTTAGCTAAGTGTTAAAGCATGCTATTAATGCAGTGAAACAGGAAGTTGCTATAACTCATGCATACAATGTCCAATCTGCCTCAAACTTCACATGTTTGATCAGAGTCCTGGCCTGAAGACATCTACATGCTCATATTTGGTTATAGTTATAGCACCACCTACTGGCAACAGGAAGTGACATGTTTTACACTGTGATGCACTATTAGCAACACAGTAAAATATGCCATTGTGTGCTAAACATGCTAGAAATATGCTCAAACATGCTAGCAACACTTACTAAGTGTTAAAGCATACTATTAATGCCATGAAACAGGAAGTTGTTGTAACTCATGCATACAATGCCCAATCTGCCCCAAACTGCACACGTCCTGGCCTGAACAGATCTAAAGGCCAATATTTAGTTATAATCATACCGCCACTTGCTGGCAACAGGAAATGACTTGTTTTACACTAACTTAAACATGCAATGTCCGATCTGCCCCTAACTTCACATGTTTGGTAAGAGTCCTGACCTGAAAACATTTACATGCCAATATTCAGTTATAATTTATAGTGCCACCTGTTGGCAACAGCACATTTCATGTTTTACACTAACTCATACATACAATGTTCAATCTGCAACAAATTTCACAGATTTGATAAAAGTTCTGGTCTGAAGACATCTACATGCCAATATTCAGTTAAAGTCATAGCGCCACCAGCTGGCAGCAGGAAGTTTAGCACATATAAATGACTTTGACATATTCCTCCTATATTTATCACTTTAAATTCATATTGCCCACCGTTCTCTGTTTTCCTAAAGCCACCAGATGGCAGTGAGCCCGGGTGCGAGGGCCCTTTCATCGCTGCTTGCAGCTTTAATTTCTCATTGCTTTTTAATTGTTACATCCTGGAGTTTTTTTTTTTCAGCTTCAATTTTTATTCCTTTTCCTGCTGCTAGGCATCCCAGCTCTTTATCTAAGCGTCTGTGTAAATCTGGAGAGGATGTCAACACGGAAGGGATGGAGAACAGTCTCCTCCAGCTGCCAGCTGACAGTACAGACCGCTCTCAAAACGTATGGCAGTGGATCCTGGAGAGCGACAGACAGACCAAGCACAAGCCCCACAGGTCTGTCTCACAACTCTGTGATCATGTCTATATTGTAATCTCAGAAAATTCTTGTGCATGCGCATTTGCACACCAGTTGTCTTTTTGTTACTGAATTGCACAAGCGTTTTAAAGACTGAGGCTTGCCATCTGCCCACCTGGATTCCTGTGAGCTTTTGTTCTTACATTGTACTTACATATTCAAACTTTCTGTTCTTGCAGCACTCAAAATATAAAGAAGTCGCACTGTTTGGATCCCACGCGCACACACACCTGGGGAGGTGGCGGAAGCAGTGGGCATCTCCGTGCCCACCAGCCCGCACACCCCTACGTTCAGGACCCCGCCATGCCTCCTCTACCCCCTCCCAACACCCTAGCACAGCTGGAAGAGGCCTGCAGACGCCTTGAAGAAGTCTCCAAACCCTCTAAACAGAGGTACGAGCTCCAGACTTTAAGATCCTGTATGTCAGTCCTTGCTAAAAACTCTTGATTGATTCCTGTATTGACGTATGTGTTCCACTTCACAGGCATTCAACATCAAGCCTTCAGAGAGACAAGAGTCACCCAGTGCCTGTGCAGAATGGCAGTTCAGCGCTTCAAACGGATGAGTATGTATTTCTCCTGATAGTCATCGCACTTTAATTCATTTTCATTGACGAATGGCACACGTATGCAGTGCTTTGCAGCCATTAGTCTTTCTTTTCCTCCAGAAACTCCTGGTTGTTCTCTTTTTTTGGTTTCTGGCCCTAGCCAGTGTTTGAAGTGTGGAGCATTGGCCACCTGATGGCAGAACTTTTTTTCATTTTTAATTGGCTGACCTTCAGTCCTGGTCTATGGCTAGGGGGCTTTCTGAAGTAGCACTACAAAGTGAAGAAAGAGGCCAGGGGATAATCTTGACCATTTTTCTTTTCACTCATCTCTGACAGCATTTGTTAAACTTAAAGCACTGCATTTAAGCCACCTACTGACTCCGACACTGTTCTGTTTTTTTTTGTGCACCTTGGGTACTTAACCTAGATATATATATATATATATATATATATTAACCTAGTCGTAGAGCCCTGCTTGGGCCTCAAATATAGGCCCTAGCCCAGCCCTGGCCCGAAATGCTCAGACCCTAGCCCGGCCCTTGTCCGACAGCTCTTCAGAATTCTTGGCCCGAGTCCTACCCGAGCCCGTCTTTTTTTTTTTTTTCTTCTTCTTCCAAAACGGCTTACTACTGTTTCAGCTATTAAAATAGTTCAGTTTTGTATGTAATGGTAAAGTGATTATATGTTGTTGTTTTTTTTTATTAAGTTAATTTAAAGTTTGGAGCATTTTTTTTGTTTGTTAAATGTAAAGACGACTAAAGCGCGCTTTGCAGGACATGGGGGCGCCGGCACGATCACTTGCATTGGAAACAACTTAAAATACGCAGTGGTGGAGGTAACGAATTACAACTACTCGCGTTACTGTAATTAAGTAGTTTTTTCAGGTACTTGTACTTTTTTGAGTATATTTTTAAAGCTGTACTTTTACTTGTACTTAAGTACAAATTAAGCAAAATAATCTATTTTGTTACTTTTAAATCATAGTTCGTTACTGAGTACGCCCACAACAGGACCCGATGGGCTTGCAGACCTCTACCTAGTCGTCGACTAATATTTAGAATTACCATAATCTTGAAGTTTGATAATTAGGTCTTAGATTTCTCATCATTAATCCTACGTATGAGCTATAATCGTAATATTGATGGTTGTTTAAGGAATCAACACGAAAAATATCCATACATGCTTCCAAAAAATCTAATCCTGATGGATAAAAAACCAGTCCCACCCTAAATATTTCCTGTTGTGTTACAGAATTTCAGTGTGTTGTGCATGCCATCTAGTGTGGTCTTTAAGACCTAGCTAATATTATGCTCCGCTGTGAGGATATTTACGTTTGTGCTCGTGTGTTTGTGTCTTTCCAGACCAAAAGATCTCAAGAAGATGTCAGGTTGCCACAGTAGTTTGAGCTCAGAGACAGTGGTCACATACTTCTTTTGTGGTGAGGAAATCCCGTACCGCCGGATGATGAAAACACACAGCCTCACACTCGGACACTTCAAGGAGCAACTGAGGAAAAAAGGCAACTACAGGTATACCTTCCATTCTGACTGGAGAATTTCTGTTTAATAGTTGATATTAAGGCTGCTGAAGACTTGTATATAATAGTTTTGCTATTAGCTAATTAAAAAAAAAAATCCATGCGAGGTATTTATTGATTTGTTGGTCTCTTCAAGACGGCGATGTTTACTATAAGTTATTTACATTAGCAGCAAGTATGGAGTTAAGACAACAGGAAAGAGAGAGGGGTGGGTGCACAGAGAAATACAGAAAGAATGAGGGAATTTTAACTGTAGCCGTTTGGTCACATCTGGTATTGATTTCATCTTAAGGCACATTTAATAAGCAGCTCTTTGAAGCCCAGGCCTTTCATTTGATGCACAAAGACTTGCACACATTTTTAAACAATTTTCAACTACGTTGCTCTCATACATTTGTGTGTGTGTGTTTACATAAGACTATCATTTTTTTTAATGATTATTTCTCATTTATATCAAAGCCTCTCTTTGTGTTGGCCTTTTTATTTGAATGGGGCATTGTCAGATGGCCGCCAGTGGTTTTCCTTGTGCATGTTGACTCCATAAAAGCCCATTTAAAGCACACCAGAACAGTTGAGTAACTTTTTTACTGGTAACTATGCTGGTCATAGCTTTTAGCTGCCCCCTGACCAAAATCTGTAATGCTCCATGTTATTGCATTGTTGTCCATATAGATGACTTGTTTTGTCAAATAGCTTGTTTTCTGAGGCCTGCATTCTACATGAATATTGTCAAAAGATCCCCATGTTAAGGACCCCTCTCTCACTATGCACATTTTCAAGGAAAAGAGAATTCAAAGCTGATGGTTTTAATCGCAGAAAATGTGTGTAGTTGGGTCATTTCAACATGGCAGAAATTCAACAAAGAACAGTACTGCCAGAGTTGCCAGACGATATTGGTGCCAGATGTTGCGAAGAGAAAATCTTGCCATATAAAACATGTTCCAATGGAAAGACGACTTTCTCTTTTTCTTTCTTCTTCTCCCTCTCTCTGTTTTTTTTTTCCGAACAAATAAGAGCCATGCTTCCCTTTTGAAGATTTTGCGGAGGAGGATATAGCTTATTCTCCAGAAATAAGGATGTAATTATGTGCCATGTAGCAGTATTCTAGTTTGTCCCTCATTTATGAAGTTGGGTTTGGGCAGTGGGAGAACAATGGATTGTTTCCGACATATTGAAAGAAGAAAAGCAACTTTGTTCTCGTCAATTGTTGTTTTGAGTCATGGTTATTCCTGTGTGTGTTTTATGTGCACTGTTTCTATGACTTGGTGGTGTTTGCTTGTAAAAACCTAGCATGCACTGCAGCGCAAGTTAGTAAGAGGGGGCATTTTCCATTACAAAGCCAATTACTGAGGCAGACCTCACCACTCCCTCCCCTCCCACTGTTTTCTCTTCCTTCTGGAGGAGGTGGAGATCATTAGTGCATCAGAGGTGGAAGGAAAAAGACAAATCGAATGATAGAAATGAGGCAAACAGGTCATCCGTCAAGGTCAAAGACTAGATTAAGACCAGACTCATCCCGTCGCAATGTGGTAATGAAAAAAGCTTGAGTAGACTCTGCGGCACCCAAAAATGTCAACCCTTGTGAAAGATCCCCATCATTTGCTCAAGAGCTCCCAATTAGACACCAGAGCCCTGATGGTAGATGGGTGGTAGTGTTTAACAGACCCTCTAATTTAGGCTAAAGCATCTCTTTGTCCCCCATATAGTGGAGTGCAACACAGTATAGCACTAGTGTCTGATACGGGTATTTAAAGTCGACACGAAATGGTGTTTAAAACATTTTACTTCTATAATGTGATGCATTTCACACTGAAACGGGATATTCAGATGGTTTGGGTGTGTCTGTGTGACGTATCCATGGGGTCTTTAAGCTTTTCATAGGCTTGGAAAACAACATTGTTATTTTCTGGAATGAAAGAACACCATTTTACCTGTAGATTACCTGTAGTCATTTGTGAATGCAATCAACAGTTTGTTGACCGTACGTGTTCTCTGTTTCAGGTACTACTTCAAAAAGGCCAGTGATGAGTTTGAGTGCGGTGCTGTGTTTGAGGAGGTCTGGGACGACTGCACAGTTCTGCCCATGTATGAGGGCAAAATCCTCGGCAAAGTGGAGAGAATGGACTAAACAAGCATGACAGCCCACATGTGGACTTACCCAGCACTCAAGACTAACTCGACGAGCGGAAAACGGACGTTTTATGAAGCTAAAAAAGTTTAGACATTTGGCTTACCAAGCTATTGAAGGAATACTAGCCAATGAAGTACAGAGGGATCTGAACCAGCAATGCATCATGAGAAATTGTTCCTTTGATTTGGAACGCTAAGAAAGATGTTATGACCAATGAAGACGCAGTCAACCACTTGTTTGTTTGGACTACAGCACACCAACATTGGTGTGTTACCATACCATGGACTGCTGACCAGCATTTGTGGTAATTGTAGATGTGTATACGTGTGTTGGATGCGAGAACGTGTGCATGTGTATACAGAGGTGCTCATATGTACACAAAGTTATAATATGCTTCTGTCACAAGTTAAAGACTTAATTGCTATTTATTAAACTGTCATTCCCCTCATACCTGTGTTCAGATGTTGGACAAGCTGCTTATTTGATTGGGAGATTTTCAATGTTATACATGCATGGACGGATGTCTAGAGTCACGCGACCTTAACTCAACAGACTGTACCAGGAATCTTCTCTTCTGGCCAATGAGAACGAACTGTGCTTCAGACCAGCACCCCTCTCCAAACCTCTCTGCTGATTGGGTGGATATTTCAACCTTAATTGCCCAGCCAATAGCTGATGTGTTGCATCTTTAGTGCCTTTGGTTTAAGGTCCAGACATTGCACAGGAACCAATAGCCTTGTCCTGGAACCTGTTCCAAAACTCTTATAAACACTGAGTAATAGGAAGTCATGCTATTTAAAAAACAAAACACAAAAAAAGGTCATCTTAATTTCAACACTGTCTGGGAGATCAGAGGGTGTGCATGGAAGGGGTTAATGTCCTGTGTAAATGTTGAATGGAAAGACCTGGTTTAGCCTATTTAAAACCGCTGAGCTCCAGGGGAAAATCTCGGAATGCACTGGCAGGAGTGGATGAGAACATGCCATCGCTAGTGTATTATACATTACCTGTGCCTACATGGATACCATGCTGTGTGCTGCCCTGTTTCAGGGTGTGAATATTCCCTTGCTTTTCTGAGGGGTTTATGTTTAAAATCATTTTTTATGCTTTGGATGTCTTGTAATCATGACATTACGTTTCAGTGTTTTGCTCCCCCGATTTTGTTTGTGTTTCACTTAAATGTAAATTATGCATTATATAGAGCTTCATTTTAAAGACGACTTGGTACTTTAATTATTGTAATTACGAAGAGATGTAGCCTTTATTAAAAGTTATATTTTTTAAATGAAAGCTAATATGTTTGTGTGGTTACTGTGCATTTGTGTCTGGTTGGAAGTGATTATTGCACCCTCATTTGAGAATTTGATTCACTGGGAATCAAACCCAAAATAAGCTCCACACTGAATCTGTCTATGCTCCACAGAATTGGAACACCTGTATTGGATGTCCATTTAAATAATAATACTAAAATGCTTTCTGAATACTTAGGGATACTGTTGACTCACCTTTGTGTAACTTTTACCATTCCACTCATTTACCCCAAAATCTGTGCCAAAAAAAAAAAAGAAGCTTAAGACGACAGATTTAGTTTAGCCTGCTCATGATCTTTACATTAGGGCCTTTCGCACTGCGGGAACCTTTTCATAGTACCAGAACTAATTGTGGAACTACCCACTTTTTGGCGTTTTCGCACTGCCGGAACTGGGTGCGATTTTAGTACCGGACTGCCTTTTTCGAGAACCAAATTAGCTCGGTCTAACCAGCACAACTGGTACTAATCGTGACGTAAGTAGACATTGATTGGCCAAACGCGTGCGAGAATCCCCTCCCCCGCCATGATTTAAAACACCGTGTAAACATACTGTAAACATTGTGTCAACTTATTTCGCAAGACATACTGTAAACATAGTGTCAACTTATTTCGCAAGTATGGAGAACAGCGATAGATGGACGGACGCTGAAGTGCAGGCACTTGTAGCAAATGTAGCACTGCCAGTTGGCGTTGGAGATTCTTAGTCCTGCTTTCCGTTCTTTCAGTCGCTTTACGTATACGTCGACTTTCCATGTCCATTATTGTGAAACCTGCGAGACACAACAAAAACACAGCTCCGATCACAGCATCCTCCATCCTCCTGTTGTTAATGTTCTTCTTTGTTTCTGTTGTTGAACGCCACGCACAAATGACGACGCTGTCGACCGGCTTACATCACTTCTTAGTACACACTGTCGGTGCGAATGCAACCCTTTAAATGGTACTGGGAAATGGTTTGCGCAAAATCGTCCCAGTAATTTAGTACTGTACATTTAGTTCTGGAACTAAAGCGGTGCGAAAGGCCCTATTATGAGGGCCCTGCTCTACCAGTTGATCTCAGAGTTCACTGTATTAGACTGCTCTGAGATCAGTTTTGGGGTGTGCCTTTCATCATTCTCTTATACGTGCCATTCTAACAGGAAGTTTGGTAAAGACGTCATGAATGATAGCATGAGGATGTCATAAGAGGCTCCCCGATTGGCTGTTAATCCCATCCATTAAATTGCAGGCGGGGTTCCTGCCAGTTGGGGGTAACTCTGTGGCTGTTTGTACACCATAGAAGGCTTTGTTCATGGATCATTCCCCCTGTCAGCTCCCTCCAGCCCTGCCCCAGCACCTCCATGCTTAATTAAAATCTCACCCCCTGTAGCTCCTTCCATGAGAACCCAACTCCAAGGTGAAGGCCTTTCCCAGAAAAACCCCTATTTCAAGCTTCAGATCGGCCCATTAGGAGGGAGGGGGACTCGGGCATCAGGTTGTTTTTGTCGCCATTTTGGCAGAGAGCGCGATCAGTTGCCGGAGTTCTATGTGGGAATAGTTTTATCTGGCTGCCTTCGTTCAGTATTTCAAGTGTTCGCCATAAAGTGGAGGGAGGAGGTTTTAATGGTTACATGCTTTTCTTGAGTGCCTCTCCACACTTGGACCAGGCCCTGGCCTTTACTTCTTCCCTGGGAGATGTGAGCTTTGCCAGGGCCTGGGCAGCTGGTTTTTCTTGGGGCTAATTGGATGATTAGAATGCTCCTGGAAGCACCACTGGCCCAGCATGCTCAGAGACAATGCTGCGGCATAATGAAGCACTTCAGACCCCGGTGAGAAATCCCAGCCATATTTGTTCCCATTATCAGCCTTTAATTTGCTCCCTCGTAGAAAATTAATAAATGCAGCAGTAATTTGGCCACTAGAGTCCTTTTTGCCTGCGAGCATGAGCGTGTACAAGCTCAGAGATAAGTTGGAGTGCTAAGTGTTCCCGGCATGTCTTGCGCGGATGCATCCACCGAGTGTTTTTTTTTCTCTGCATGGAATGCCAGATACAGCCTGGCAGAGATCAGAGCACGCCTGACCCTTGACTTGTCACTTCCCTTCTCCTAATTGTCCTTCATTCCAGTGAGCTCTATTTTAAAGTTTCCTGTGCTTTGATCGTAAAACCATCTAGGAAACTCTTAGCTGTATTTCCCCGAACAGCCACGACCTTCCCACCTAAATGCACCCCTTAAACCTTGGTGGAAATCGCAGGTGCCATCTGCCGCCGGAGGGCGAGTTTAACGTTGGCTGACTTCAAGTCATTTAGACAATGTCGCAATGTTAGATTGATGATATCAGTGCTCTCGTTTCCCATGGCACAAAGCGTAGCACGTGGGAGGCAGCACAGTAACCATATCAGGCAGTGTGTGCCAGGGGCTCGCTCTGAGGAGCGCTAACTGTTTCATTCATTTCATTGTGTGTGGTGGTAATTGGCATTAAGCGCTACTCTGGCGGCTTTAACCAGCTTCTGTGTGTGTGAAAGGGAGAGAAAGAGACAGCTAAAGCTGCCTTAGTTCACTTCCCAGCCAACATTAGCTCGCATGGCAGGCCAGGGCTATTGTGCTATCTCACTTTTGTTACACTTAAGAGAGGGACTCCAAACCGGTTCTGCCAAATAAAAAAAAAATGGGTCTCTGTTGATAGATTTATTTGCCAGGTAAAAACGCTCGGCTGTGAAACGCGGGAGAAACAGAAGGGTGTGTGTGTGGGAGGAGGGTTAAAGGATAAATGAGGAAGAAAAAAGAAGGAAAAGAGTGCGACAGAGACTGAGACATGGGCTATTGCCAAGAGACACATCAAAGCGCTCCCTTGATGTTTATTTTGAATGGGCACTAATGGTTTCTGAAGGCAAAGAATTGCAGCAGGAAGACGAAAAGAAAGAGCGAGAGAGACAGACAGAAGTATGGAGCCAGGCAGCAATCCTGTGAGGGCACAAATATTCTCATCTTGTGTCTCTAAAAGGAACAGCAGGGTGTGGTAATGGTGGAGATGCTAAGACCAGGTTATGATTACATCCACCCATATTCTGGGTGCACGGCTTTGAGCCTTTGCCCAATGAGCTGCGCTTGTCTTTGTTTTTGTAGTTGATCAGCCATTTATAAATGTTTTTCCTGACCCACAACTTTTTTGTTTTCGTGCCCATTCTCTTTATACTGAAATCAGCAAATTTGAAAGACATTGAACTAGCGCTAAATAAAGAAAAGTGTGCATGTTTGCATGCTTGTGGGTCCTGGAAGTAGATAAAAGGAGCCAGAAAGCATACCACATTGCTGCGGCTTCTCTGTGAATGCAGACGGTCGATGACTTTAGAATGTGTCATGTCTTTACTTGCGCTAGCGCCTCAGTTCCAGCACCCCATGATGTTTTGCCTGCTTCAGGGGAGACTTTTATGTCATATCACCTTTGAAACTCATACAAAATCTCCTGACCTATCTTTTGCCGTGCCTGTATACACCCAACTGAATCCACACAGCTGTCACTGCAGATCTATTTTTCAATCATCTTCCTTTATTTCTAGACTGGTACAAAATATGTCCTATACAGGTATTTAATTCATTTTTCACAATAGAATACTATTTTACAATCAGTGTTGGGTGTAATGCATTACCAAGTAAATAATTACTGTAATTACTTTTCTCTTAAAAAAGTAAAGTAAGGGACCATTAATTAGTTACTTCTGATGTGATTGCATTAAATACCAAATAATTGTATATTATTTATTTCAAAATAAATAAATGAATTAATAAAAGAGCAGTTTCATGTTTATCTCTGTATTGTTCAACTGCCCAAGGTTGACATATAGGAATTATAAAATAAATAGTAATACTTTTTATAAAGTGTAATTAGTGTAGTAAAAGATTTACACTGTTGAAGATGTAATTAGTAGCTAGTAATTAATTACTTACCAATTACTTTACAATATACTGCAAACTACACAGTATACACTGTTTAATACTATAAATAGCAAGTGAGTGTGCAGTAATCTGTGATGAACATTATTTAAGTGAATTTATGGCTTAATTCAAAATGACATATTAGCATTATCTGTTACATAAAGATATGGTATCATTGCAGGTGAGTGGTAAAAGGAGCCTATTTGGGAGCCAGATCCAAAAAAATAAAAAAAGAACATAGAATAAGTTGCAGTGCGTCCGAAATCACGTACTGTCTGAGTAGGTACTACATTTGAATTTGAATTTGAACTTACTTTGTGGCCGTTAAAAAAGCATGTTTCATATAGTATGAATGTGTATAGTATGGGTGCTTCTCAATATCCCTCCTCGTTTCCTCGCTCCTCCGTACTCCATCCTATGACCCGGAAACTGATCGAGCTCAGCCATCTTGTAGGACATCTCAATTCTCTAACTGCACTGCGAGGATCGAGGAGTGAGGAGGCTTCCTGAGTTGTCATGAGCGAGGATACACAGGTGTATCCTTTGGGGAAATGTTTTATCGACTAAACGTGACGCACGTATAAATTCTCCTCCCCCTTCACATCTGTCGTAATAATTTGCATTTTTTATTTTACCTTTGCCGTTTAAGTAAACCATACATGTCATTTCAACAGGGTATCTTGCTTTATTGATATTTATTATGAATGCCTTAAAGGGGTGGTTGATTGCGATTTCACTTTTTTAACGTTAGGTAGTTTGTAATGTTGCTGTTTGAGCATAAACAATATCTGCAAAGTTACGAAGCTGAAAGTTCTCTCTCTCATTCAGCTCAGCTCCGACAATGAACTGTTCCAATTATATTCTTATTTTCACATAGCTATGAGAAGCATTAAACATGGGTTGCTGTACTGTATTAAAGCTTTAATCAGGATAAAACCATACATTAAAAGCTAACATAAGCAGTAGCATTTACAACAGCGTATCTAAAAGTATGAGACAACAACAAACAAAAAATATAGGCCTACCATTAAAAGCCGTGCTTGCACAGGTTCT